ATTATGCAGGCCATGGTTATGATTATGACCAAAATAATATTTTCCTATCATAATTATTATAATCGTTACAATGAATATAGAAGCGGCCACAATGTCAGCATATTTCGGATCGAAAAGTTTTGAATTCTGGAATGATGATATCGCCTCAGGGTAAAGATCGCCTAACGTGAGAAATAATAATATTCCAGCAGCAAATGATAACGAGCCAGCGAGAAAGCCTTTTGACTGCGTGATTTGAAAATCTTTAGTCCACGAAAAATATGGAAATATAAGATCTAATAATGGTGCGAAAGAACCTAGGGCAGAGCAAAATGCTGCAAGAGCAGTAAGCCCGAATCCAAGGCCTATGTTTCCAGTGGCTAAAGTCGAATGGTCTGTGGCATATACAGAAGGTGGAGGAGGAATTTTATTACTATCAGTTCCATGAGCTATGATACTTGGCGGGGCCAATAAGATGACCAAGCCTGAAAAAAATAATAAAATCTTGTTTGTTATTCGTAATGACATTGTAATTCTCGAGGAAGTTGGTGATTAAAATAAGTATGATTTTATATGGTAGTTAATCCTCGTTCAATTCTTTTAACATTTTGAGGTTAGCAGTTTTTTTTTTAAAGAACTATCTCAAATTTCTTGATAATAGCTTGATGAAATTTGGGGTTTTGATATAACGATAAACATGACACAGTTTTATTGACCAAACAAATGGAGCAGACCGTGTAAGCAGATATTTGCCAAGACATTATTTGGTATTTATGTGGTTAATGGTTTCACTATTGTACGCGGGAAAGAATACAAGAATTCTGCCAAGAAAAAAGGGGAACTTTATTAACATTTTTTAAACCTTTGATTAAAGATATCTCAATAACTACTTGATCAAATTTAATAAAAAGTTTTTTTTTTTTATTTGAATTCTATAAATCTGTAGAATTCAAGTAAAAAATTTGATCAAGTAATTGTTGAAACATCTTTAATCGAAGTTTTAAAAAATTTTAATAAAGCTTAACGTTCCCCTTTTTCTTGGTAGCACTAAATGTAGAAAAGAACTTTTTTTAGCAAAGTAAAAGAGGTCAATTGTTTCTATTTATCGGTATATAGTTTCACAAATCTCCAGTTTTAGATTTAAGGTCAATCCGAAATAAGATATATGCACTAATAGAAAATTGTGAAACATTCATCGGAACTTTATCTTGAACTTAATCTTGAATAGATTATCATGAATTACATTTATACCTGTTTTCGAAGATTATTTGAAATGCAATACATATAAAGGATAGTGCAATAGTTTCACAAATTTACAGTTTTTGGATTTAAGGATAAAATATAAATTACTATGGAAAATTGTGAAACATTCATCTGAACTTTATCTTGAATATCCACTATTCACATTGTTGTACTTTGGACAAAAAAAAATCGAACTTTAATAAATAATTAATTTTTTATATAAATTTGTCTAATAATTAATTTTTTTTATAAATTTAGTCTATAATTAATTTTTATATAAATTTAGTCTAATAATTAATTAAGTATTGGACAGTATAAATTTTAAATGTCTTCTGACATCACTGACAATTCATAACGATAGATTATCATGTGATTCTATTTTTGATGATTATTTGAAGTTTTATTAGCAATACATATAAGGGATGATAGGCTTTAACCTACGTTGTGAAAGAGTAGACCGTTGCCAAGGTGGTTTGAAACGAATCCTACTACATAGAGTTAATACAAATTCAACTTAATGGACTTATCTAATATATCGAATTTAGTCAATTTAGCAAATTTAGTGAATTTAGCGAATTTAGTTAATTTAGTTAATTTAGTCAATTTAGCGAATTTAGAGAATTTAGCGAATTTAGAGAATTTAGAGAATTTAGTCAATTTAGCGAATTTAGTGAATTTAGTGAATTTAGTCAATTTAGCGAATTTAGTGAATTTAGTGAATTTAGTCAATTTATCGAATTTAGTCAATTTAGCGAATTTAGTAATTTAACGAATTTAGTGAATTTAGCGAATTTAGTGAATTTAGCGAATTTAATGAATATATCCATTATATTCACACTAATAGTGTCTATCTTTTAGGCCGTTTGAAGTTGATTCTTCGGTTAACATCACTTTTCCAGGACCC